GGTGTGTGTGTGTGTGTATCACATTTTCTTTATCAATTCATCCATTGATGGACACCTAGATTGTTTCCATGTCTTGGCTATTACAAATAATGCTGGAATGAACATGGGGGTACAGATAGTTCCTTGAGATAGTGATCTTGTTTCTTTTGTATATACACCCAGAAGTGGAATTGCTGGATTATATGGTGGTTCTATTTTTAATTTTTTGAGGAACCTCCATACTGTTTTCACATAGTGGCTACATTAATTACATCCCCATCAACAGTGCAAAAGGGTTCCCTTTTCTCTACATCCTTGCCAACACTTACCTCACTTTGTGTGCATGTGTGTGTGTGAGGTGGTATCTCATTGTGAGTTTGATATGCATTTCCCTGATGATTATTGATGTTGAGCACCTTTTCATGTACCTATTGGCTATTTGCACGTCTTCTTTGTAAAAATGTCTACTTAGTCATTCTGCCTGTTTTTAAATTGAATTTTTTTTTTGCTATTGAGTTGTATGAATTCTTTATATATTTTGGATATTAACCCCTTATTAAATATATGTTTTTCAAATATTTTATTCCATTCATTACGTTGCCTTTTCATTTTGTTAATGGTTTTCTTTGCTGTACAGAAGCTTTTTAGTTTGATGTAGTCCCACTCATTTTTGTTTTTTTTGGTTTTGTTGTCTTTGCTTTTAGTATCAAATTAAAAAAAAAATCATCGCCAAGACCAATGTTAAGGAGCTTACCCTCTATGCGTTATTCTAGGAGTTTTATGGTTTCAGGTCTTAACATTTAAGTCTTTAATCCATTTTAAGTTGATTTTTTTGTATGGTGTAAGAAAGTGGTCTAGTTTCATTCTTTTGCATGTGGCTGGTCCAGTTTTCTCATCACCGTTTATTGAAGAGACTGTCATTTTTCCAGTGTATATTGTTGGCTCCTTTGTTGAAAACTAATTGACCATGTATGCATGGGTTTATTTCTGGGCTCTCTATTCTGTTTATCTATGTATCTGTGTTTATGGCAATATCATATTGTTTTAATTATGATAGCTTTGTAATATAGTTTGAAGTCAGGAATTGAGATGCCTCCAGCTTTGTTCTTCTTTCTCAAGATTGCTTTGGCTATTCAGGGTCTTCTGTCTATCAGAGTATTAGTAACATTCATTGTAGCATAACTAGTTATAAGACAGTTATAAGACAGACTTTGATATTTAATCCTCCAAATTGATTGCAAACCCCTTGAGAGCAGTTGATAAACTCACAGATATATTTAGTTGACTAACTTTGTTTAAGGTTTTATTTAGTTGCCTGGTGTTCTCCTTGCAAGAATTAGAGGGCTGGCATTGGTCTGTGCAAATGCAGGAGCCAGTCCTGAGTCAATGTATACGTGATTTATTCACAGGCTATTTAACATAGACACCAGGCTATGATAACTAAGCTAATTTTACTTTTAGTTGATTTTTCTACCTCCGGTTTCCTTTTCTACCTCTGGTTTTCTCTTCTACCTCTGACTTTCTCATACTTTTAGTTGCAAAAGGTAAAGATTTGTTGACATTTTTATTCCCAGTCTTTGCTAACTTCCTGGTTGCAGCTTTTATGTAGAAGGAAGCAATCTTTTCCTCTTTGTCATCATTGTAAAAACTTTTTTCCTTATAATGGAATGTAAGTGGGTATAAGTAGTTCACAGCACATAGTTTAACGTTAATCTGGTTTTACATTTCTTTCTGTCAACATTAGAACAAAGTTTTTACATCATCTGGCAGAAGGTTACTAGCAGATATTTTGTCAGAGTCTTCCTCATTGCCTAGAGAAACCTAATGCCAAGGGACTGTACACTTTGGGTGACTGCTTGTGAATAGGGCTTTCTTTTGGGAGTAATAGCAAAATATGGTGTGGCTCTTGGGGAGAGGTTGGCTTTTCAGAGCAAAGGCAGAGCAGAACCACCTCGTGATTAGGAGCAAAGACTAAGCTGTGGCTTTGTCACTTACTAGGGAATGACCTAGGACAAATCCCCTACTCTCTTTGAACTGCAAGTGCCTCTTTTATGAAATTAGGATGTTGTGAGGGTGATATGAGCTGATATATATAAAGAATTAAAAGCATGGTACCCATTACCTAGCAAATAACTCAATAAATGGCAACTATTGTCATTATAACATTAATGACGATGATGATCATTATCACATCATCTTGGGAGAGTCAGGTGAAGCCGACTGATTCTGTGCTTTTGTAAGAGTGATTTATTCGTTACAACCAGCTAGATTGTCTTGTGGATAAATTTGATCACAATAGAAATAATAATATTTAAGCATAGGTTATTTCATGAAAATACTGAAAAAAGAAACTTTATTATAGCCAATATTATCAATAACTGCAAAATAATATGTCAGTGCAGTTCTTCCATAGTATTTGTGGCTCATTGAGAAAATCCATGAAGATATCCTCCTTAGCAAGTTTTGGTTTCAGGAAAATCAAATTGAGGCAATATAATAAGGTGAGCAGGGAATGTAGGGAGCTACACAATTGGAAAAACTAGCTCCAAACTTAACTGGCTGAATGAACACCTCTGCTGAGACACTATGACTGTGTTGTATAACATCCCTCAGTTAGCTATATTGATGTGTGGTGTCCTTTGTGAGGTCATCAATGACATTATCAACAAGACAGAAGCAATGATACTGAGCTAAAGTCAACCACCTACAAAACTCACATCCAAGGGATTGCCAGGCTACTATCTATTTGGGGTGGGCACAGGCATTGTTTAGGTAATTAGAACTAGGTCTCTATTCTCTGTCTCTAATTGTCAGGGAAGCCCAGTTAGCCAGGGGATAGGATGCTGTCTCCGGGCTGCTAGGGTTTCTGTTGTGCGATAGGCACCCATATGAACATTTATAGCAGTACTAGGAATGGTGATGCTGAGCTGTGACAAAGGGGTGCCTTCCAAGTTGGCTCAATTGCGGTTTTCACCATCAGAACAATCGTGGACGTTAGGTTTTTCTTAGGGTTGACTGAATGATGAATGGAAGCCCCAGCCAACATACACCAACTCTTTTGCATAACTTGGGAGAGAGGGGATGGTTGATTCAAAGAAGGGATGGGAAAGAAGAGACCTCCAGCAGTAAAGAACATACGCATGTGAAATATTTTTCTGGTGAGAATCTTAAAAATAAAGATGAGTCTTAGAATTTAGGAGTTCGTCAGAAAAGAATGAGATCAGAAGAAAAATAAAATTTCAAGAAATGCCAGCTTTTATTTTAGTATATAATTTATAGTATTCCAAAATGGATTTTCTGTAGAGTCATAGTTACCAACTGCACTTGAAATTCTTTGATTTAGGATAGTTATGCTAATAGACTCTATTCAGTCAACATGAACTCAAACTTTTTTTTTTAATATATAAATTTATTTATTTATTTTTGGCTGTGTTGGGTCTGCATTGCTGCACGTGGGCTTCCTCTAGTTATGGCGAGTGGGGGCTACTTTTCGTTGCGGTGCGCGGGCTTCTCACTGTGGTGGCGTCTCTTGTTGCGGAGCACGGGCTCTAGGTGCGCGGGCTTCAGTAGTTGCGGCGCACAGGCTCAGTAGTTATGGCTCGCGGGCTCTAGAGCGCAGGCTCAGTAGTTGTGGAGCACAGGCTGAGTTGCTCCGCGGCATGTGGGATCTTCCCAGACCAGGGATCGAACCCGTGTCCCTTGCATTGGCAGGCGGATTCCTAACCACTGTGCAACCAGGGAAGTCCCTGAACTCAAACATTTTAACTGTATCATAATTTACATTGAGATACTATATGTTTTTTACTATCCTAGGTTAAAATTGACTTCATATTAAATAATTTGAGTTGTGAGATATCTGTAAAGCATAAGTATGTTGTCCAGACAGGTCAGAACTCCACCCATTCAGGAAAGTAGGGTAGTGGCTTCCCTGTAACACATGGGTGTGCCAGCTGCTTTTGTAAGTGAAAGACTTAGGCAGGTCAAATTGCTAAATATCAACTCTAAGTTAGAATTGTTTTTAGGTGATCACACAGTGTTATCGTTTTTTTGTTTGTTTGTTTGTTTATCAGAATAAAAGGGAGTAAGATGTTTTTCGTTGGAATTTTTATTTTTTATTTATTTTATTTTATTTTTTTTGGCTTCTGAAAAAGTTAGACTATTTAAGTCCTCAAAAAAAAAATTAAGAAATTCCATCAATCCAATAGTGGAATTTTTTTTTTTTTCAAGTGAGAAGAAAGAAAGTCAAGAGTTAACACAGTACAAGACTTTATTTAGAAATATACAGTGAGCACGAAGGAGTGCTTGATCTGGAGGGTTTCCCCTTGAAATTTTGGTGCCATGCAACTCTGGCTAGAAGAAACCTTTTTTTTTTTTTTTTTTTTTAAGTTCCCTTAATGAAAGGAATTATAGCAGTGTTATATCTGTCATTTTGAAGAAGGATCATGGCATGGTTTTCTTTTACTTTTTATCTGTAAAGTGTAGACTCTTCCAGGGATAGAAATGTAAATGTGTTGGCTTTTGGTTTTAGTGAGAGCTTCATTCTGAAGGGGAAAACTCAGGAAGGGAGTTGTTACCAGAGTGGAATTCAACACTTGCCAGAGAACCCAAAGCAGGCATGAGGTTCATTGTCCTGTTGAGTGACAGAAGACTTCCACCAGTTCTTTTTGTGGAGGGGATTAGTGGTTGAACAAATTTGCAAGTACAGCATGCAGTTTTGTCAGGTACACATTTCTTTTCACAGCTCTCTTGACTTTATACCATGTAAATAACCTCAGTTGTCTCTGAATTTTTCTTTCTTTAATTCCTATTGGATGGTCATTTTATAAAGTCAGTTTCTTGGTTTTTTTGTGTATTGTTTTTGAATTGTGGTATACAAATTGGTATGTTAACAAATTCCTTATTGTGTGTTTTCTTTTCTAGTTTAACATAATTTCATAATCTAGGAAGTCTCTTTTTGTTATTGGATTATTGTGTGATAAAAATCCCAAATAACTTTTTTGTTTCTTTTTTTGTCTCTGTAGGCTAAGAAATGGCATTTCAAAAGGCAGTGAAAGGGACTATTCTTGTTGGAGGAGGTGCTCTTGCAACTGTTCTAGGCCTTTCTCAGTTTGCTCATTACAAAAGGAAGCAAGTAAGTAACTGTACATGTATTGATTATAATATGAAACAAACCTGTTAAAGAACTGTGTATGGGGCGTGTGTAGGCTAATGGTATTGTTTAGAAATTACCGTCTCAGCTTGATCTGAAAAAGACACTAATTTAGAATACTGCCTTAATGATCCTTGAGAACTGTGTATATCTCATTTTTTAAAAAGTAAATTTCTTTGTCAGAAAGCATTATATTATTTAGCCTCTGTTTTGGCTCTTTGGTTTTAAAAGACTGCTTCATTTCGGACTGCCAGGGTTTATTCATTTATACTTTCCTTGTCTAATTCATCCAAATGTCTGGACACCTTCTATGCTTCTGCCAAGAGTTTGTCTTATTAGAAGGCAGGCAGCTGAGAAAGGAAATGGAAAAGAAAGAGCCTATACAAAAGGCTCAACTCGGAATCTTGGGTTTATTTCTGAAAGGTTTAGTTACTTATGTAGTATTATTACTTTATATTGGGTAAAATTTTTAGTGGGAGAAAGCTATGAAAATGAGATTGGTATGAAGTTTCCAAATAATTTAAAGTGTTCAGTTTATTTTCATTTTGTTTTTTTTTCCCCCTTTGCACTACAACTGTGCCTTCCCATAGTTCAAATTGATGCCAGGAAATAACTTTGGTGAATGGTTTTGTTCTTTTCAGGCTTGAAATACTAACCTCAGTAGTTAGTATTAATCTCCTGTTCCCCCTTCCCTATGTCATTAGGGCATTTTGTGATACCAGTTGGTTGGTGCATTCCCGATTCAAAGATGGAGGTGAAGGAATTTGGGAAGCTATTTGTAGCTGGGCTATCTATGAACTACTCACATCCTACATTTTTGTGAGAACCTTTAAGCCCTGCCTGGGCTGTCTTGTACATGTTGTTTCTGTTTCTTTGTGCTACACGGTGATGGAGCCAGCCACATTGCTTGGAGTCCCATGTCCTGAATGGGAAATACCACGTTAAAAACACATATTAAGAAGAATCAATTTGCTGGCTTATAAATAAAAAAGAAGCTAATTTCTAGTGCTACCTCCTAAAGATGGACAATATTGAACAGGTTGTGCTGGTTTTTTTCATTCTTAACTGTGAGCACATTACTCTTAAGGTTTCCCTAGGTATACATGTTGCAGGTATTACTGACTCGCTATTGAAGCTCATTCTCAGCTGCTGAACATGCTTGATGCACTATTTCTTTTAAAATGTTTCCTTGGTTCCTTAAAAGTAAGTGTGAAAAGATGTTGTTTTTGCTCAGGCTATTTTAGAAGTGCAGTTCTGTTTGGGACATGGACTTTAACAGATTAGATTACTTCTGCCATCTTTTACCAGTGGTATCTGAAACGATATTGGAGAGTGCCAGTGCCAAAGGTCACGATGTCTAGTATGGTAAGTTGTTTCTAAATTTGTACATGGTTCACGTCTGTTAACAACAGTAAGCATGTTCTATTTCCGAGTTTATAACTTAACTTTGTACCTAGGGAATACTGTTTCAGAAATATATTTTGTTGTCGTTGTTGTTTGACTTCTCTTCTTCACAGAATAGAATAAGCAGTTGATACTGCCTCCAATCCATCAAGTTAGGGGTTAATTTTAGTCAGTAAAATCAAGCAAAATGAAGGTCTGTTGATTCCTGGAACATTTTGTCATTTTCTCCTTCCTAAGTTAGACATCCTGACCACCCTACTAGCCAAACGAAACAGATACCAGCAGTTTCAAGTCATTTATAATTGTAATCTGACAAGTTCTTTTGAGAAAAATCACCATAGGCGTATTCAATCAATGAGTTGCATAAGACATATGCCCAAGTGTGTGTATTCTTTTTGCAGTGATTCCTGTCCCTTTAAGCCACTGCCGTGAGCGTATTTTGGGTAGCAGTTTTGGATGTAACCATAGGGATTGGCAAAAAAAGAGAGGGGTGTGTGAGGAGGGGGGAGGAGACCATCTCAGTTGAGCCATTGACATAAAATGACCACAGGCCTCAGCTGTCCTCTCTCAGAGAATATCTGCCAATCAGAGCCACTCTAGGGGAGGAAATTTTCCCGACTTCAATAGTCAAGAAAAAAACTGCCCCTTGACACCCATTATTTGGCTACATTTTACAGAAGCTGTGACCTTAAATGTGACTAGGCGCGCTCTGTTTTTCTTGAGAGCAATGCTTAAAGTATTGGCTTGTGTTTTTATCTTTTTTCCAGTTTTATGAAATGATTCCAACCGATAAACTGTCCTCCTTTAAGAATAAGTTGGTTTTGAAAGCCCCAGGTACTGATGGCCGAGAAAACTGTCTGCTGACTTTTGAGCTGAGGCACATTTTGCTGGCATTCCTGCACTCGACGCTCTGCATCCCCTGGCCCCTAGCTTGTGCTCATTTGATATTCCTGGTGCAAAGCTTCCTTCCTAAAATACAGGCAGAGGTCGTATTCCAGATACAAACGGGTTGATTGTAAAAGTTGGTCAGTTGTTTCAGCACCTTTGGTGATGGGATAGTGCTGTAAGTGTTTAGCTGCCAGGTCAGCTCACAAAACCCTTTTAAATTAGCTTGTATTTGCAGGGAAAAGAATAAAAGGAAAACTATTGTATATACTTTCTTGATTAATTAAATGGAAAACACAATGAAATCCACTAAGATGTGGTTCACTTACCTTTTACTCAGTTGCTTGAATAAAAGCTACCGTAGGTGAGGAAATAGAGACATTTGTGAAGACTGGCATTTCTTGTGGGCAGGTTGGAGGTTAGAGGTGATAGCAAAGATTTTTTTGTTCCACTTTACTTCATGGTGTGGCTTTTCTTCATGCAAGCATACTATTAACATTTATGTTATGTTTTTCAGTGATGAAGAGTCTCCACTGTTGACCCAAGTGAGGCCTAGAGATTTTTTTTCTTTGGAGATAAATAAGGTCAGATTTAGAAAGGATGGAGATCATGGCCTAAGGAGAGAGCTGTTGTTATTGTTGTTGTTATTATTATATTTTGGAGCTGGGCAACCTAAATCTTCAATTCCAGCGAGGAAGCTGATGGGGGAAAGATGAATTGAATGGAATGTGGCCTCTTTTGACTGTGTCCACCTGCAGGGAAGGAGGTTTGTGACCACAAATGGCATCCATACTCCAGGCCCCCTCCAGTGATACATGTAGGATTTTTTTGAGTAGTCTTGGAAAGGCTTCCTATTCATTCCATTTTCCCTCTCTTTTTATTTCCTCACCCACATGTAGGTGACTAAGTTTCCACAAAGCCTTCTTGATTTTTCCTTTCCCCGGACCAGCTGTATGCCAAGGAACAGGAGGCTGTGTAGTGGGATATAAACCCCCCAGCACTATCTTAAATCCCACCAGGGATGTAGCAAGCAAACACCCCTGCAGTGGTGTGCAGATTTTCAAGAGTAAGGTATTTGTCATTCACTGTTTAGTATAGGTCTGTTTAATAATAAACTTTTCATTGGAAGGGACCTAGAAGACATCCAGTCTTCCTCTCGGGACAGTTTGCTTTTCTCAGGTCTCCTTACTGTCTAGTGAAAGGGAAGTGTTACTTCATGGGACAGCTTCCTTTTCTAATTCCAAGGTGGTGGGTTAATGGAGTTTAAATTAGGAGAGAGGGCCCTGGGTAGCTTCAGAGGCGGTAAACCTTAGCAAGGAACAGTGGTGGAGAGCGTTACAGTCAGGGCTGCAGGAGGGTTCCTCAGGGGGGTGGGAAGAATGGGGGCAAAACTAGGGTAGGATTTTAAACTTTTAACTGAGGGCTGCCTCGGGCTTTTGTCTTTTCATTAGACAGTGAAGGCCTTTTTTTGGAAACTTCAAAAAATTTTAAACTCCACATTTCTTTCATACCTTCTAGGTCCTAGCTGGAAACTGATGTAACAGTGTGGGCTCCTTTTTAACCCCAGCCGTGTGGTTGATGTAACAAAGATCTCTTTAGGTCTGAGGGTGGCCCTCTCATGTACCACGTGCTCAAAGTGTTCCTTCCATTACCCACTCTGGAGGTGTGGTGGGCTCTGTGAGCCAGCTCTGAGGTGAAGCCTGAGAACCACAGAGAGCTTTCTCAAAGCCCAGATGTGAATGTTTTTTTCTTCTTTTCTGCACCATGCATAGGCAGGGAATCTCTCTTCAGTGTAAGGAGTGATATTATTCGAATCAAGGAAATGAGAGATTCTCGTCGATGTTCTGTTCATCAGCAACGTAACAGAAAGGACGAGAACACGATCTTTGGAGCGTCTTTGCAGGCTGTCTGCATCTGACACCCAGCTCTGCTTCTGAACAGCTGAGTGACTATGGGCAATTTTCTTAAATTCTCTAGGCCTCATTTTTCCCCCATCTGCAAGATGGGGAGAACAGTGGTACTTCCCTCATAGGACTGTTGATGAGCAGTAAAGCCTGGGAGAATTCCTGGAATATAGTAAACTTGCCAAAAGTATTAGTTATTCCCAGGTGATATGAATATAAAGTGTGAATAACTATATGAATATATAGTGAGCACGAAAGTTGCTCTCATCTTTGGAGACCCTTGGGTTCAGGGATACTGTGTTAAGACTTTGAGGTTTAGTAGCAAATGGCCTGTCCTTCATCTGAGCTTGTAGGAGAATGGCTACAAACGGTCACACAAACACCCTTCTGTTTTCTCTTCTACTTGATTCCTGATCTGAAGATGAGCCAATAACAAGGTAGACAACACCAATTATTGGCTTAAACTTTCTTCCTGTTGTAAGTAATAGATTCCTTGAAGTTCCCACTGTGGTTTTTTTTTCTATTTAAGCTTATATAATTTATGGCAGACTTGATTTATATGGTGATATGTTCCTAAAAAGTTATGTGAATATAGTCTTTTTGATAAATTAATGAATATATAGTACAACACTATTTGTTGTAATTCTATGGTGAAACAATTTAGAAAGCTCTGGTTTTTTTGGGGGGGGTGTAAACCTGGTTTTTGAGGGTAAATCAGAATTTAGCTTGAAGGGGAATACAATTAAACTTATTCTTTCCTAAAGCCAATGATGTAGTAATATTTGTTAACGACAGGATCTTCATGCTTTGCAAAATAGCCTCTCACTTTGTAAGAGACAGCCTATACTTGGAGTGGATTACTAAAGGCTATAGTTTACTTTGTTATGCATGGTAATGAAGGGAACATGAAAACCACAATAGTGGTGATGTTAGTGAGTTGATAGGATTAGGTGAGTTGAACTATAAGTAAACCTATATACCACCTTTGTGAGGAAAAATACTTATGCTAATGCGAGGCAAAGTGCTGTATGAAAGTTAAAATCCATAGGAATTTTGAGAACATTGTTTTACTCTCAGTCTCTCCCTCTCAATACATTATTTGTAAGAGATCCTAGTAAACAAGGGTCTTTTGATTGGTAGTACCAATGACCCCAAATTCAAAAGATAGGATTGGTGCAGCAGCAAAAAAATAATGGAATGATTATATCTAGTCAAAGTAAGATCTACTTTGGGGGTTATTTTAATGGATCCTCAAATGAAAAGATATTTAGCTCCCTGAATGTGTCTGTTAAACAAGTGTGGCCGGGTTTTGGTGAGCTTGTTACTGTGCACAGGTTATGAAAGTTTCCAGAACTCTAGTTTCTTTATAAGGTAAGGATACTGTCACTTTACTCCCAGGCTTTTCTCCCCTGCCAAGCACTAACCAGTTCAGAATATACAAGATAATGATCACAGTACCTGGCACATTAGCAGGTCTTTAGTATCTATTATACCTCTTTCTTCCCCCACCCCCGCCCCCCGCCCGCCATACAGGATATAAAATATTTGAAATAGACCTAGCCTTGTTTGGCGTAATAAGAGAGATACAGCACCAGGTTTCTTTAAATAGCTGAGCTTTTGATTGGCATAATGCTGCTTACATTAACTGCTGGCCAGAGAAACTGGTAGAGGTTAGAGAAACCTTAAGATGAATATCAATCAAAGAGAAATCAAAATTATAAGCACAGGGCTTCCCTGGTGGCGCAGTGGTTGAGAATCTGCCTGCTAATGCGGGGGACACGGGTTCGAGCCCTGGTCTGGGAAGATCCCACATGCCGCGGAGCACCTAGGCCCGTGGGCCACAACTACTGAGCCTGCGCGTCTGGGGCCTGTGCTCCGCAACGAGAGGCCGCGACAGTGAGAGGCCCGCGCACCGCGATGAAGAGTGGCCCCCGCTTGCCGCAACTAGAGAAAGCCCTCGCACAGAAACGAAGACCCAACACAGCCATAAATAAATAAATTAATTTAAAAAATTATAAGCACAACCAATCAAAATCATAAGCACACTAAACACTAGTGAGGATGTGGAGCTACAGGAGCCCTCATTCATTGTTGGTGGGAGTGCAAAATGACACAGCCACTTTGCAATGCCATAGTTGGGTGGTTTCTTACAAAACTAACCATATTCTCACC